GCGAGGTCCCGTTTGGATCTGCGTGGGGGCTTACTTTGCAGGCTCCCCTAGCAACCTTCGAACGTGGCGACAGTTTCACAAGTCGCAGCCCCCCAGGGATGGCGAGGTCCCGGTTGGATCTGCGTGGGGCTCCACTGTGTTGCCCCCCCCCCAGCAGCCCTCGAAAGTGGCGACAGTTTCACACTTCGCAGCCCCCAGGAAGGATGCGAGAGGAGGAGCCGAGAGGAGAGCGGGGGGAAGGACCAGAAGGAGAAGGGAGTCGGCGACCCCACTGCTCTATTCAAAGCGAGGACGCAACCAAGGGAGGGTCGGGAAAAACATCGATGTTCCTAAGGTTGTTGTTTTTATGTTTTGTCGATTCTCGCTTTTTCGGGCCAAGAACGGCCCAGGACGGACCAAGAGGCCCCAAGGATCGTCCCAAGACGGCCCCAGCGGCCCCAAGAGGGCCCCAAGATGGCCCAAGAGAGCCCCAAGACGGGCCAAGAGGACGCAAAACGGCCCAAGAGGACCGACGACGACCCCAAGAAAGCCCCAAGAGGCTCCCAAGAGGGCCTGAAGAGGCCCCCAAGAGCACTATGACAGCCAAAGGCCTCCAAGACGCCCCAAGACTGCCCAAAAGGGGCCCGAACCGGCCCAAGAGGGCCCCAATACTGCCCAAAAGGGCTTCCAAAGAGCCCAGAGGAGGCCGAAAACATTGATTTTCCATTGGGTGTTGTAGGTTTTTCGGGTGTCCGCCTTTTCGGGCACCCGACGGCCCAGGACGGCCCAGAAGGCCCCAAAGATCGCCCCAAGACAGCAGAAGCCTCCCACAGGCGCCCAAGACGCCCCAAGACAGCCCCCAGACGGCCCCAGAGGGCCCCAAGACGGCCCGAGAAGGCCTTCAGATGCTCCCACAAGAGCCCCAGGTCGGCCCCATGAGGCTCCCAAGATGGCCCTGAGAGGCCCCAAAGAAAGCCCCACGACGGCCAAAGCCCTCCAAGACTCCCCAAGACGGCCCAGAAGGGCCCCAGGACGGCCCAAGGGCACCCCAAGAGGGTCCAACAGGGGCCCAACAGGACCCGCAAGAAGGCCTTGAGATGCCAAGTGACAGAGGCTCCCAGGAGTTCACATTGACGTGACAAGCTCGTAACACCAGGGCCCCCCAGAGCGAGCGGTGACGTAAGCAACTCTTAAGATCAAGAGAAAGACTCCCAAGAACGAGCGGTGACGTAACAAGCTCTGAACACCACGACCCCCTAAGAGCCCATAGTGACGTGGCAAGTTCTTCACACCAATGCTCTCAAGAGAGATTGGTGCCATGAAAGCTCTGGACACAAAGGCTTCGAAGAACAAACGGTGACGTAAAAAGCTCTGAACACCAAGGCTTCCAAACGCCCATAGTAACGTGATGGGCTTTTTCACACCCATGCTCCGAAGAGCGAGCAGTGACGTAAAAAGCTCTGAACACCAAGGCTCCTGGGAGCCCAGTAGGCTGTGAACACCAAGGCTCTGAACACCAAGACTCTGAACACCAATTTGTCACGTCACCGTGAGCTCAGCCCACAGAACGTGACAAACTCTCCACACAAAAGGTTCCCAAGGGCGAGCGGTAACGTAACAAGCTCTTCAGACCAAGGCTCCCAAGAGCGAACGGTGCCATGAGCCATCGCAGGCAAGCGTCTGAACCGCTCTTTCCGTTCCCATGCCGGCCCAGGTAACGAAAAGAGCGAGGTGCGAGCGATGACGTTTTGGTGGGGCGAAGCCCTCTAGGGAGGAGTTCCAGGGGAGGGGCGAGGCGCGGGCGAAAAGTCTCATGGCCAGCTTCCCTCGCATTTGTTCGATTAAAGCGGCTCCAGGGCGGCACCGAGGGCCCGATTCTTTGTATTGTTTAGACTGAAACGGCTCAAGGGCTCCAAGAAGGTCCCAGCCCGGCCCCAGAGGGCACCAAGACGGCCCCAGGAGAGCCCCAAGAGGGCCCAAAGAGGCCCATTCGTCTCACACCTCGAATGTGGATCTGGCTAAGCAGCCTCTGTGGGCTACTGCTGCAAAGCAGGTGCGGTCCCTCGGTGCCCGCTGTCTTGGGGCCCAGGGGCTGACCAAAGCACGGCGAGAATATCTCGGTCGGGTCGCGGCTGGGAAGCAGCCGAAGGTCCTCAGCCAAGCCGGCGTCAATGCGAGGCGGTCGAGAGCATTTCATTAAGTGGGGGGCCCGCTCCACTCCACTCCTTTTCCTTCTCCTCCTCCTCCTCCTCCTCCTCCTCCTCCTCCTCCTCCTCCCCCTCCTCCTCCTCCCTCCTCTCCCCGTCCCCCAATCTCATAACGTGGGCAGCTCGCTCACGTAGTTGCTGACGAACCCCGCCAGATACGCTGGGCTCCTCCTCCTCCCTCCTCCTCCTCCTCCTCCTCCTCCTCCTCCTCCTCTTCCTCCTCTCCTCGTCCTCCTCCTCCTCCTCCTCCTCCTCCTTCCTCCTCCTCCTCCTCCTCCTCCTCCTCCTCCTCCTCTTCCTCCTCCTCCTCCTCCTCCTCCTCCCCCCCTCCTCCTCCTCCTCCTCCTCCTCCTCCTCCTCCTCCTCCTCCCCCTCCTCCTCCTCCTCCTCCTCCGCCGCCGCCGCCGCCGCCGCCTCCTGCTCCTCCGCCTCCTCCTCCGCCTCCTCGACGTTCGAGGACAGAGGACTTCTCCAGAGGTCTCCCGAGGCCCCCGCGGGGGTCTCCGAAGGCGCTCCCCGAGAGGCTCTTTTGAGACGACCCGCGGAGGACTCGCTGAGGGCGGTCGAAGGCCTCCCGACGGCTCCGATCGGAGACATTGAATTGTGAGATTTGTCCGGTCGAAGCTGTCAGCATGCCTTCGAGCACTCAGGTGCAAACATCTCTGGTGCGCTCGTCGAGTTCGAAGATGGGAACGTGGCCTGCGAGTTGGCGCGAACGGCTGCCCTCGAACGCGCGGCGGAATGGTGTCCCCAAAAATTAAGAAAAGGCTTCCCATAATGGCGAATGACACACGCCCGCGACACCGCACCAACTCGAAAGCCTCGGTCCGCGAATCGGCGACGGGGGGCCCGACGGTGCGGGGTCGCGCGCCCGCCGAGCACCCCCTCGCCCTGGAGGTCGAGCTTGCACCCTGGAGACAAGACGTCCAGAGCGGAGGACGGAGGGCCTCCAGAACGGAGGTCGAGACCCTGGCTTGAGGGCTTCTGCCCCCCTGCGTGTGC